AGCTGGGGGTCGTATGCGGGCCAGCTCAGCAGTTTGACCTCTCTGGGGGTCGTATCTGGGCCAGCTCAGCAGTTTGACCTCTCTGGGGGTCGTATCTGGGCCAACTCAGCAGTTTGACCTCTCTGGGGTCGTATCTGGGCCAGCTCAGCAGTTTGACCTCTCTGGGGGTCGTATCTGGGCCAGCTCAGCAGTTTGACCTCTCTGGGGGTCGTATCTGGGCCAACTCAGCAGTTTGACCTCTCTGGGGGTCGTATCTGGGCCAGCTCAGCAGTTTGACCTCTCTGGGGGTCGTATCTGGGCCAGCTCAGCAGTTTGACCTCTCTGGGGGTCGTATCTGGGCCAGCTCAGCAGTTTGACCTCTCTGGGGGTCGTATCCGGGCCAGCTCAGCAGTTTGACCTCTCTGGGGGTCGTATCCGGGCCAGCTCAGCAGTTTGACCTCTCTGGGGGTCGTATCCGGGCCAGCTCAGCAGTTTGACCTCTCTGGGGGTCGTATCCGGGCCAGCTCAGCAGTTTGACCTCTCTGGGGGTCGTATCTGGGCCAGCTCAGCAGTTTTGACCTCTCTGGGGGTCGTATCCGGGCCAGCTCAGCAGTTTGACCTCTCTGGGGGTCGCTATCCGGCCACTCAGCAGTTTGACCTCTCTGCAGCAGTTTGACCTCTCTGGGGTCGTATCCGGGCCAGCTCAGCAGTTTGACCTCTCTGGGGGTCGTATCCGGGCCAGCTCAGCAGTTTGACCTCTCTGGGGGTCGTATCCGGGCCAGCTCAGCAGTTTGACCTCTCTGGGGGTCGTTACTGGGCCAGCTCAGCAGTTTGACCTCTCTGGGGGTCGTATCCGGGCCAGCTCAGCAGTTTTGACCTCTCTGGGGTCGTATCCGGGCCAGCTCAGCAGTTTGACCTCTCTGGGGGTCGTATCCGGGCCAGCTCAGCAGTTTTTACCTCTCTGGGGGTCGTATCCGGGCCAGCTCAGCAGTTTGACCTCTCTGGGGGTCGTATCCGGGCCAGCTCAGCAGTTTGACCTCTCTGGGGGGGGGTCGTATCTGGCCAACTCAGCATTTGACCTCTCTGGGGGTCGTATCCGGCCACTAGGCAGCTCGTCAAAAATTTACTCCCCCTGTCTAAAAATAAGTTGACCCCCGGGGGGGGAACCCGGGGCCCCCCGGGGGCCCCCCCCTTTTTTTTTTTAAACCCCCCCCCGGGGGAAAAACCCCCCTTTTTTGGGGTTTTGGGGGTTGAAAAAAAAAGGGGCCCCCCCCAAAAAACCCCAACCGGCCCCCCCCCGGGGGGAAAAAATTTCCCCCCCTTTTTTTTAATTTTTTTGGGGGGGGAAAAAAAAAAAAAAACCCCTTTTTCCCCCCGGGGGGGGGCCCCCCCCTTTTTTTCCCCCCCTTTTTTTAAACCCCCCCCCCCTTTTTTTTTTTTCCCCCCCCCCCCATTTTTAAAACCAAAAAATTTTTTTTTTTTTCCCCCCCTTTTTCCCCCCGGGGGGGGGGTTTTTTTTTCCTTTTTGGGGGGGCCCCCCCCCCCATTTTTCCCCCCCGGGGTTTTTTTTGTTAAAAAACCCCCCCCAAAAAAAAATTTTTTTTTTTTTCCCCGGGGGGTTTTTTTTCCCCCAAAATTTTTTTTCCCCGGGGGGGCCCCCCCCGGGGCCCCTTTTTTTTGGGGGTTTTTTTTAATTTTTTTTTTTTTGGGGAAAACCTTTCCCCAAATTTTTTTTCCCCCGGGGGGGGGGGGGGGTTTTCTTAAAAAAATTTTTTCCCCTTTTTTTTCCCCCCCCATTTTTGTTTTTAATTTTTTTTTTTTAAAAACCCCCCCCAAAAAAAATTTTTAAAATTTCCCTTTTTTTTTAATTTTTTTTTTTTTCCCAAAACCCCAAAAAAAGGGAAACTTAAAATTTTTTTTTAAAATTTTTTTTCCCCCCAAAAAATTTTTTCCCCTTTTTTAAAAAAAATTTTTTTTTGGGGGCCCCCCGGGGGCCCCCCCCCCCCCCTGTTTTTTTTATTCCCCAAAAAATTTTTAAAAATTTTTTTTTTTTTTTTCCCCCCACCCCCTTTTTTTTAAAAATTTTTTTTAAAAATTTTTCCCCCCTTTTTTTTTTTTTTTTTAGGGGCCCCAAAAAAAAGGGGCCCCCCCCCCTTTTTTTAAACCCCCCCCCCCCCCCCAAAAAAATTTTTTTCCCCAAAAATTTTTTTTTTTTTTTATTTTCCCCCCGGGGGTTTTTGGGTTTTTTTAAAAAAAAAAATTTTTCCCAAAAAGGGGGGAAAAAAAAAACCCCCAAAAAAAATTTAACCCCTTTTTTAAATTTTTTTTTTTTTTGGGGTTTTTTTTTGGGTTTTTTTTTCCCCCCAATTTTTAAAAAATTTTTTCCAAAAAAAAATTTTCCCTGGTTTTTTAAAAAAAATTTTTTTTTTTTTTTCCCCAAAATTTTTTAAATTTTTTTCCCCCCAAAAAAAAACCCCCTTTTTTTTGGGGGGGGGGCCCCCCCCCCCCCTTTCCTTCCTTTTTTCCCCAAAGGGGTTTTTTTCTTTAAACAATATCTATCTATTGTGTCACGGTGGGGAGGGTCTTTTTGTAGCCTTTTTTCCTAGTGATAGCCTTTTTACTGGCTGCCAGTAGGACCTAAACAGGTACTTTTCCTATTGTGTAAGTTATCAGGTATTTCACCAAATCCCCCAAAAAAAATGAATGTTTGTTCTATGTAAAATCCCATTATATTTCCAATGTTAATTTTTATTTCTCCCCATTAAGTTTCGATTGGCTGGGCAGGACCAAAAATAAGAGAGTGATCCACTCTCGTTTGGCCCGCATTCTCTCCAACAAGGGTGTTGGGAGCCAATCTTTTTTTTATTTCAGTTTAGGTGTTATAAAAAATGTATACATTCTTCCAACAAATTCCCCTCCCCAAGACCTTGAGTTGGTAGAGCTTAGTTGATCTTCTCAAATATGTTCAACCATGTTTCATCATTAGTTCAATGTTTAAGTTCCACTTTTGCATATGTCTGGAAGATCTCTTATGTCCCCCGTTCCTTTAATTGTATCAAATGAGTGATGGCCTTTCTGTCCGTATGCCGGGCCCGCTCAGCGTTTAACTCTCTGTCTAAATAGATTTGCTTAACTACCCTAAACCATGTCTTAGGAGACAATTAATCCACTGATTTTGTCTGCTGTATGTTTCTATTACCATGTCCTATGTTACCCCAAAACTGACTGGATATGTCAAAGTAGTCTTGATGTCTTTCCATTTGGATTCGTATTCTGATTGCACACACCAGAGGTCTCAATTGGGCTCACACAAAACAATCCTTTAGGTTTGTTAAGGCCATGCCCCCCCAACCCCCCCCCCCCCCCCCCCCCCCCCCCCCATCTCTTACTGTTCCAGGTAAACCTGATATCCCGTTTATCCCATTCCCTAAACTCTTTAGATGGGATTTCTATTGGCAGCGATTGGAACAAATGCAGTAACCTCGGCAGGATATTCATTTGGATTGTTTCAATTCTGCTACTAAGATCCAAGGGAAGTGAATTCCACCTGTCATATATTTTCTTGTTGATGTCATCGTAATTCATGTCATAGAGTTTGGGTGTATCTTTTGGTAGATTTACTCCAAGATATTTAATGGATGAGGAGGTCCACTGGAAGTTACACCTACTCTTCAGCTCTTCCTGTGGGGTATATAATTATATATTAGGGCTTGGGTCTTGTGTACGTTAATCACATACCCTGAATATGTTCAACATTTTTGTAAAACATCCATCAATCTAGGTACACTTCAGCCTGGGTCTTTAAGGAATAACATAATGTCATCAGCATACATGCATATCTAATGTTCACAGCCTCTTACTGCTATTCCCTCTAAAGATGGGTCCTGTCTTATTGGCTGTGGAGAAGAGCATCGTCTTGCCCCTCGTTCTCCTGTCTTATTGGCTGCACGTACAAGGAGAAGAGCCTCGTCTTGCCCCTTGTTCTAAACTTATCGTTCGTGACAAATGTCCATTCATCTTTATTCTGGCAGTCGGACATGAATACAGTGTTTTGATGCATTGTATCACTTCTTTGTTGAAACCAAATCTATCCATAACTTGGAATAGAGAATCCCATCCCACTGAATCGAATGCTTTTTTTCTGCATCTAGACTGATTTAATATAGCACTTGTCTTATTCTGAGTGATGTGGTCCATGACATGTAGTGTTCTCCTTATGTTGTCCTGTGTCTGTCTATTTCATATGAAACCAGTTTGATCCCTGTCAATCAATTCTGGGATTATATGTCCGCCCATTGTTTTGGCTATTATTGATGCATATAGTTTATAATCCATGTTAAGAATTGCGATAGATCCTACAGGAACTGCATTCCTTCTTATCTTTACCCTCTTTTGGGATTACAGATATGATGGCTTCTCTCCACGATGGTGGAAGATCCTCCTGCCGCAGAGTCCAGTCAAAACAGGCCTGAAGTAGATGTGTTAGTTGTTCTCAGAAGGCTTTGAACCATTCTGAAGGGCCTGGAGATGTGTTTGCCTTTTAGATTAGATATTGCATTATTAATTTCTTCAGTAGTAAGTCTATAATTTTGCTCTGTCCCTGTTCAGGGGAGATCAAGTGAGTTCAAAAAAAAGTATATATTGACCCGGTATATATCTGCCTTCTCTGGTTGCTTGTACAGATTTGTATAGTATGATTCAAATGCATTCTGTATTTCATCCAATTTGCATGTAACCTTCTTTGTTTTGGGGTCCTTTATTTTGAACACTCGTTGGCCTTGGAAGTTAACAGGCTTTTTCCAGGCTGCGCGTAAGACTTTCTCTTTGACTGAGAACCACTATGGATCTTGGCGGGGCGCCGCTTGGGGGGTTTTGGCGGGGCGCCAGCCCGGGCTGTTCTCTCACCTGGAGGATGAGGAGAATACTGTAAATGTTGCTTAGCCGTCAGACATTTTTGAAACAGTTTGCAACGTTGGGATGCTGCTGACCTAACCCTGGATCTTCTGTCTAAACCCTTCAGGTCGGACTGTGTGGACATCCTGACACAGTGTGGCGACCACAAACGCTTCCACGAGGGACAGACGGCCGAGCGCATCTGTGAGATTCTGTCACCCATAGACGACCCTGAACGCTGTATCCCCCTGGAGAGATACCTCAGTGAGTGGTAACGTGGGTGTGTGTGTGTGTGTGTGTGTGTGTGTGTGTGTGTGTGTCTGTCTGTGTCTAACATGTCATTCTCCCTCCAGCTCCCAGCGGCCTGGGTAATATGACTGAGGAGGTCATCCACCCGTGTAACCCCAACCCCTGTCCCAGCAACCACCTGTGTGAGGTGAACAGGAAGGGCTGCCAGCCGGGACAGGAATGCCTGCCTTACTTCTGTGTGCCTGGTACAGTATACTAGAACATACAGGACCTCCCTGTAACCCTAAGGGTTGTCTGTAAACATACAGTACCTCCCTGTAGCCCATGTCCACTGTAAATACATAGTGTGTCTGTGTAGACGTGAAAAGTTAGTCTGACTACTGTGTGTGTGTGTGTGTGTGTGTGTCAGGCTGTAAACTGGGTGAGGCCTCAGAGTTCCTGGTCCATCTGGATGCCCGTGTCCAGGTGCCCATGCGTAACGGCCAGGCGGGCTGCTTCGAGGTGTGCACCTGCGGACAGAGTGGCAGGCTGGAGAACTGTGCCGAGATGCCCTGCATCGACACCTCCAAGACCTGCGTTGTTGGGGGCCACAGAAAAAGTAAGCTACCCCCCTTCACCAGCAGTGTGTAGCACCCACCTGGTTTTCAGAGCGGTTTTAGACAATATGCGCAAAAACAGGGAAAAGGAGGCAGTAGTTTATTTTGAGAGAGAGAGAGAGAGAGAGAGAGAAGAGATGAGAGAGAGCAGAGAGAGAGAGAGAGAGAGAAGAGAGAGAGAGAGAGAGAGAGAGAGAGAGGAGACGAAGAGAGAGAGAGAGAGAGAGAGAGAGAGAGAGATAGAATAGAGAGCTAGCGAGAGATACGAGTAAGTGGATGAGTCCTTGGTGCTGTTGTGCCTGCTTGTGAAATGCTTCTTGTGGTGTAAACATCACTGAAACTCTTCTTCTTCCCCTAGCAGCACGGCAACGCTACATTAAAAAAATAAACCAACCAACCACACGCTGGTATTTCCTTCCCGCGGTCTCCCTCTGGCCCGCCCTAGATGTCACTACTGTGACTTGAAAGGAGCTGCCAGAATATCTTTCTCTCTCTTTCCCCTCTCTCTGTCTCTCTCTGTCTTTCTAGAGCATGCACACAAACACACACATACTTTCTCTATGAACAGCAGGGAGGAATTCAGCATAATAACCACATCCCCCTCTCCACATGGCCTTGTCTGTCTGTGATGTTGCCTCCCAGTTCATCACATCTACAACACTTTGAAAAGAGATATAGCTTTTATATTTACAACTATTTTTTCTCCTCCCAAATGTTTTCTTGTTACAGCTTTGAAACTACATTTGTTTGCATCCAAATCAGTTTATTGCTTTTGCTTTTATGCTTGTTTTCTCTCTGCTTCAAAAGGGGGGTCAGACATTTCAGCCTTATTTCACACAAATGTGGTTTGCCTGACAGTGAAAGTGGGGTTTTGGAGTGCTTATATCCAGACCATTAAGACAGGAAGTCATCATATAGGGATGTCTTGTTAGAAGGGAATAGATGGGAGAGATGGTGATGCTTTTCAGAACATAAAGCCCATGGTAAAACAGAGAGTGTCTTTCTAGATAACAAGTCTAGCATTAGCTCCCATGTCTTGAGTCACACATACATCCCAGGATCAATACCTGATCTGTTACATGCCAGGATCAATACCTGATCAGTTACATCCCAGGATCAACACCTGATCTGTTACATCCCAGGATCAATACCTGATCTGTTACATGCCAGGATCAATACCTGATCTGTTACATCCTAGCGTCAATACCTGATCAGTTACATCCCAGGATCAATACCTGATCAGTTACATCCCAGGATCAATACCTGATCAGTTACATCCCAGGATCAATACCTGATCAGTTACATCCCAGGATCAATACCTGATCAGTTACATCCCAGGATCAATACCTGATCAGTTACATCCCAGGATCAATACCTGATCAGTTACATCCTAGGATCAATACCTGATCAGTTACATGCCAGGATCAATACCTGATCTGTTACATCCTAGTGTCAATACCTGATCAGTTACATCCCAGGATCAATACCTGATCTGTTACATCCCAGGATCAATACCTGATCAGTTACATCCCAGGATCAATACCTGATCTGTTACATGCCAGGATCAATACCTGATATGTTACATCCCAGGGTCAATACCTGATCAGTTACATCCCAGGATAAATACCTGATCTGTTACATGCCAGGATCAATACCTGATCTGTTACATCCTAGCGTCAATACCTGATCAGTTACATCCCAGGATCAATATCTGATCTGTTACATCCCAGGATCAATACCTGATCAGTTACATCCCAGGATCAATACCTGATCAGTTACATCCCAGGATCAATACCTGATCAGTTACATCCCAGGATCAATACCTGATCTGTTACATGCCAGGATCAATACCTGATATGTTACATCCCAGGGTCAAAACCTGATCTGTTACATCTCAGGATCAATACCTGATCTGTTACATCCTAGGATCAATACCTGATCAGTTACATCCTAGGATCAATACCTGATCAGTTACATTGGTGCTGTGATCCAGATCACATAGTTGAAGTCTTATCAGCTGCTGGAGTTGCTGTGGACAGGAGGACTCAGAGTGTCAGATAGCAGGTACTGCAGACCGGCAGCCATGTAACCAATGAAATCAGACAACAGGTGCTGTAGACCGGCAGCCATGTAACCAATGAAATCAGACAACAGGTACTGTAGACCGGCAGCCATGTAACCAATGAAATCAGACAACAGGTACTATAGACCGGCAGCCATGTAACCAATGAAATCAGACAACAGGTACTGTAGACCGGCAGCCATGTAACCAATGAAATCAGACAACAGGTGCTGTAGACCGGCAGCCATGTAACCAATGAAATCAGACAACAGGTGCTGTAGACCGGCAGCCATGTAACCAATGAAAACAGACAACAGGTACTGTAGACCGGCAGCCATGTAACCAATGAAAACAGACAACAGGTGCTGTAGACCGGCAGCCATGTAACCAATGAAATCAGACAACAGGTGCTGTAGACCGGCAGCCATGTAACCAATGAAATCAGACAACAGGTGCTGTAGAACCGGCAGCCATGTAACCAATGAAATCAGACACAGGTACTGTAGACCGGCAGCCATGTAACCAATGAAATCAGACAACAGGTGCTGTAGACCGGCAGCCATGTAACCAATGAAATCAGACAACAGGTGCTGTAGACCGGCAGCCATGTAACCAATGAAATCAGACAACAGGTGCTGTAGACCGGCAGCCATGTAACCAATGAAATCAGACAAAGTCTCACAACAGTGATGATGTATTGTTGTCCCACAGACCACGGCGTGTCATTCAGGGTGGACTGCAACCCATGCTCCTGCTTCGCTGGAGAAACCATCTGCTCCACCCGCCAGTGCCTGAGGGCCGACAGTTCAGACGAGGACCGCCGCCTCTTCACAGGTGTGTGTGTGGTGTGTGGTGTGTGGTGTGGGTGGTGTGTTTGTGTGTGTGTGTGTGTGTGTGTGTGTTCTAGCATTCTAGTTTGCTCAGTTCATTCCAATGTGTCAAGTAAAATCTTTTCGTTTTCTCATGATTGGGTTGGTTCAAATTGTGTTGCTGTCCTGGGGCGCTGTGGAGTCCATTTGTGTTTGTGAACAGAGCCCCAGGACCAACTTGCTTAGGGGACTCTTCTCCAGGTTCATCTCTCTGTAGGTGATGGCTTTGTTATGGAAGGTTTGGGAATCGCTTCCTTTTAGGTGGTTGTAGAATTTAACGGCTCTTTTCTGGATTTTGATAATTAGCGGGTATCGGCCTAATTCTGCTCTGCATGCATTATTTGGTGTTTTACGTTGTACACAGAGAATATTTTTGCTGAATTCTGCATGCAGAGTCTCAATTTGGTGTTTGTCCCATTTTGTGAATTCTTGGTTTAATGAGCAGACCCCAGACCTCACAACCATAAAGGGCAATGGGTTCTATAACTGATTCAAGTATTTTTAGCCAGATCCTAATTGGTATGTCAAATTTTATGTTCCTTTTGATGGCATACAAGGCCCTTCTTGCCTTGTCTCTCAGATCGTTCACAGCTTTGTGGAAGTTACCTGTGGCGCTGATGTTTAGGCCGAGGTATGTATAGTTTTTTGTGTGCTCTAGGGCAATGGTGTCTAGATGGAATTAGTATTTGTGTTTTTTCTTTGTTATAGGGCCAAAAAGATTGGAGAAGGGGTTTATCCATACACCTCTGTTTTGGATAGATAACTCTTCGTGTTGTTGTTTGTTTAGTGTTTTTCAATTTTCCCAGAAGTGGTTCGATTCTATGGATTCTTCAATTACATTGAGCTGATTTCTAACGTGCTGTTCCTTATTTTTCCGTAGTGTATTTCTGTATTGTTTTAGTGATTCACCCATAGTGAAGGCGTAGGCTCAGGTTTTCTGGGTCTTCTATGTCTTTGGTTGGATAGGTTTCTCAATTTCCTTCTTTGGTTTTTGCATTCTTCATCAAACCATTTGTCATTGTTGTTAATTTTCTTAGGTTGTCTGCTTGAGATTTTTAGATTTGATAAGGAAGCTGAGAGGTCAAATATATTGTTTATGTTTTCTACTGCCAAGTCTACACCTTCACTATTACAGTGGAACGTTTTGTCCAGGAAGTTGTCTAGAATGGATTGAATTTGTTGTTGCCTAATTGTTTTTTGGTAGGTTTCCACACTACTTTCCTTCCATCTATAGCATTTCTTAATATTATTCAATTCAATTCCTTTGGCTTTGATGCCTCATGATTGAGTATTGCTCTGTTCAATTAGAATGTGATTTTGCTGTGGTCTGATAGGGGTGTCAGTGGGCTGACTGTGAACGCTCTGAGAGACTCTGGGTTGAGGTCAGTGATGAAGTAATCTACAGTACTACAGCCAAGAGATGAGCTATAGGTGTACCTACCGTAGGAATCCACTCAAAGCCTACCATTGACTATGTACATGCCCAGCGTGCGACAGAGCTGCAGAAGTTGTGACCCGTTTTTGTTGGTTATGTTGTCGTAGTTGTGCCTAGGGGGGCATATGGGGGAGGGAATGCTGTCACCTCCAGGTAGGTGTTTGTCCCCCTGTGTGCTGAGGGTGTCAGGTTTTTGTCCAGTTCTGTTATTTAGGTCACCACAGACTAGTACATGTCCCTGGGCCCGGAAATGGTTGATTTCCCCCTCCAGGATGGAGAAGCTGGGATTCTAGTGGGGGGATATAGGTAGCACACAGGAGGACATTGTTCTCTGTTGAGATCATTTCCTTTTGAATTTCAAGCCAAATATAAAATGTTCCTGTTTTGATTAATTTAATGAGTTAGGTCTGCTCTATAGTTAGGTCTGCTCTATACCAAATTAGCATACCCCCTGAGTCCCTTCCCTGAATCACACCTGGTAGTGTGGTGGATGGGACTTCCAGCTCTCTGTAACCTAGAGGGCAACCAGTGGGTCCATCTCCTCTATACCATGTTTCTTGTAGGATGACAATGTCTGTATTTCTCATTTCTTTGGTGAAGTCCAGGTTCCTGCTCTTTAGGCCCAAAGGCAGATGTCCTCAGGCCTTGGATATTCCAGGATGAGATAGTGAAGGCTTTGTGTTCCATAAAGTGTCCAGTGTTGTTAGTCGTGTGGTTTGGCCTCAGACCAGTAAGTCTCTCTCTCTCTCTCTCTCTCTCGTCATAGGGCTCCCGTGTGGCTGCCCTGACCGTTTTGTGCCGGTGTGCGCCCGTAACGGCCGCAGCTACCCCAGTGCCTGTGTGGCCCGTTGCATGGGCTTCAAAGACAACCAGTTTGTGTTTGGCCACTGCCGCAGCAGTGACCCCTGCTCCCCTAGCCCCTGCCAGAGGAAACAGAGGTGAGACACTGTCCTGACCACCACTGTAATTCTTTCTTCCTTTGTTTCTTCCATCCTTCAATCATTTCTTTATTGGAATAATAACTGATTCAACACTATTGGATAGGGGAATGCAAAGCTTCCACTATGTATATTGGCTTTCACCTATCCAGTCATGTCCGATTTAATGATTACTTCAAGAAAGGGAGGGAGGAAGGATGCATTTCCAAAGCATTCCGTACAGCCCTTTGTGGATAAGATTGGACACCTTGACTCTAGAGGATGCTATATCTCTCCTAACAGTGGCCTTGAGCCGTGATCCTATTCCACCTCAGCCGACTAGTCCTGATCCTATTCCACCTCAGCCGACCAGCCCTGACCCTATTCCACCTCAGTCGACATTTGTTATTTCCTCTCTTGATAAATCCTATTTTCCTGCACCCTTCATCCTGCACCCTTCATCCTGCACCCTTCAGCCTGCACCCTTCACCCAAATCTCCCTCTCACACTTCCCCGTATCCAGCGGAGACGGACAGTCTGGTTGTTTGTTCAGGTGTGACCAGGCTGCGTCCCCCCTGTGGTTGCCAGCGGTAACTCTGCCATAAGGAGCGCCGGTATGGGGTGTGTTGTTGTAACCCTCCTACCCAGAATCGCCTTGAGCTCCCAGAGCCCTGAGGGTCCATACCTCTTCCCCAGGCAGCACCATCGATCTAACATCACTCCAAACAACACCAAACACAACTTCTGACCATCAGGGGGGTAAACATACAGCCCAGGGGTCATTTTGCACACATTGTTAAATAGGACACACTCCATAACCACACATTGTTAGGACACACTCCCTAACCACACATTGTTAAATAGGACACACTCCCTAACCACACATTGTTAAATAGGACACACTCCCTAACCACACATTGTTGGGACACACTCCCTAACCACACATTGTTGGGACACACTCCCTAATCACATGGCTCATTGGTAACTCCTATTACTTCTATCATCAGAGCCTCTATTGTAGCCCGTTGATGTCTGCAGTGAGAATAACACACAGTCAGGTGGACTACTTTACAATCATTCAACTCAACTCAAAGCAAAGCGTCATCGCTACGTTGAAAATAAAAGTTGTGTACACTGACGGACGCCATAGGTGGAATGCGTCCATGTTTGTGACCTTTTGCTGTTTAAAAAAAAAAAAAGGACTTAAAACAATGACATAAATGAACCCCTTTTCCTCTCGTCTTCCCATTGGGCCACAGGTGTATCCCCAACCGTAGAGTGTGCCTTACGGACATGGCTGACTACCCCTGTCCTCAGTTTGAGTGTGTGAGTCGCCCCTCGGGTTGTGACAAGAGCCGCGTGGACCCAGCCTGCGACACCGACAACGTGGAACATCCCAACCCCTGTCAGCTCCTTCTGATGGGCGAGACCCTGGCCTATATGGGCCACTGTCAGGTAGAGTTTGACATTCATGTCAGTTATGTTTTAAAGCCAAAGCAATGTTCTGAAGTAGAAGAGGTTTTTTATTGTTCAGTGTTAATGTCTCTGCTCTCCAAGCTTCCATAACATCTACACCAACATGCCCTAAATTGACTGTATATGTTGACAGCATTTGAGGGCTTTTGGGCGTTTCAATAGATGAAAAGGCATGTCAGAACTTGCAGGGAGAGGTAGCATTAGGTAGAATTGTAACACCTGCTAGGTAGCATTGTAACACCTGCTAGGTAGAATTGTAAATAGTCAATGTAAATAGTCCGGGTGGCCATTTGATTAATTGTTCAGCAGTCTTATGGCTTGGGGGTAGAAGCTGTTAAGGATGTCCAGGATCCAGTTGCAGAGAGAGGTGTTTAGTCCCAGGGTCCTTAGCTTAGTGATGATCTTTGTGGGCACTATGGCGTTGAACACTGAGCTGTAGTCAATGAACAGCATTCTCACATAGGTGTTCCTTTTGTCCAGGTGGGAAAGGGCAGTGTGGACAATCCCCTATGGTATTGTCTAATAAACTGATATGTTGCATTCAGGTTCTTAGTCTTTCCACACCTGCAGACACATGCATCTCCTGTTTAGGACTGTGCATGTATATAATACACCCAAAATTCCCCCATGTTTGTGTGTGTCTGTTTGTGAGTGTTGAGAAACTCTGCGGTGGTTGAATTAGAGTGATTTGTTGGTGTTTAGGACCTGGTGGGATCATGTTTCTCCTTGCGGTTGCTCTCAGCGTCGGTCTGATGGCGTCTCAACCCAGTAACTCTCAGCATTGTTTCTATATTAGTGGAACAGGCAGGATCGGGTTTTATATCCATTTAAGGCCGTCGACATCCCATTAAAAACCCACCAGGCCCGGTGTCAAGTCACCAAACCAAGAGACTCGCAGTCAGCCAATCAGCCAATAAGCCAATAAATCCACCCACTCTCTGTGTATTGCTGAGACAGTGAATAAAGGGAAAATGAGAGGAAAGGAACACGGATACATTGTAATTTGGCAGACAGAGCTATTCAAAGAAACCCAATACATCTGGTGTGATATGTCAAACACATAATGTGATTTATTATTATATGTGTGTTCTACGCAGGACGCCTGTAAAAGGCTGCGGCCTGTGTGCGGCCACAATGGCGAAACGTACAACACGGTGTGCGAGGCCTATGCGGACCGCGTTGCCGTGGACTACCAGGGGCGATGCCATGCCGTCGGGGCGGTAGCAGAGTTTGCCTCTGACTCAGGCTCAGGCTGTGACATGATATCCTGCCCCGCCCTGACCATCCCAGGATGCATCCCTGTCACACCACCCGGTCAGTACAATAGAGACAGAAATGACATCATATATATATAATGTTCTATTAACTCTGTGGTCAGTACACTCGGTGGCACAACCACATTCACTTTGTCATATACACTCAGTTGGCCAGTTTATTAGGTACACCACCCCGTTCACGAAAATGGTTTGCGCCTACAGACAGTGAGTCACGTGGCCATGGCTTGCTATATAAAGCAGGCAGACAGGCATCGAGGCATTCAGTTATTGTTTGATTGAACGTTAGAATGGGCGAAACAAGTGACTAAGCGACTTTGAGCGTGGTATGATCATTGCTGTGATGATCGGTGCAACGGTTCCAGTATCTCAGAAACAGCAGGTCTCCTAAGGCTTTTCACGCCCGACAGTGTCTAGGGTTTACAGAGAATTGTAAAGGTTAGGTCCCTTGATACCAATTGAGCAACTTTTCCATGCCCCGAAGAATTCAGGCTGTTCTGGAGGCAAAGGGGGGTCCGATCCGGTATTAGATGGGTGTACCTAATAAACTGGCCACTGAGTGTAAATCTCTCATGTTATACTTTTGATTTTTCCACACAGGAACACGATTCAGATATTGTTGTGATTGACACCTAACCTCTTGGTGCTTCACCTATCAGGTGCCTGCTGTCCTCTGTGTGCGGGCATGCTGCAGATCCTGTGGAACAAGGAGCAGATGAAAGTCTTCGCTGAGGTCAGCACCGTCTGCCATGTGCCTCAACTATCTGGGTGTGGGTCTGGGGCTTCGTTCTATTTCAGAGAAGTCCCCTCCCCTTCCCTGTCACTCCTTTCTGGATCTGTCTAGGCCAATCCCTCTCCTGGAGAGTTACTCAACTGGGTGTGCAAGCTTTTGTTCCAGACCTGCTCTAACAAACTAGATTCCGCTAATAAAGGGCGTACAATCAGGTGTGTTAGAGCAAGGCTGGAACAAAAGCTTGCACATCCAGTTGAGTAGCTCTCCAGGACAGGGATTGGCCACCCCTGGGCATAGGCTGTTGGTTTATAACTGTAATGACGCCAGACGACCACTAGAGTGAGGCATAGATCTGAAATACCTAGCCTCAACATCACATGCCTCCCTCTGGGATACTTAGCAAGTTTGAAATGACTGGGTCGGCCGCAGCTTCAAGAGCCCAGAAATGCTTCGTATACATGCTAATAACAGCTAATAAGAAACGTAATTCAAAGCAGATTCATTATAAACCTATTAGTCCCTAATCTCCAACACAAACATCTTATCAACGTTAAGTCTAGACCATAAGCTAATTCCAAACGACCTTTGGAAATGGTGTCAGGCTGAAATGATGTCGCGCTGATTGGGGCCTAGACAACATGACTCGCTCAGACCAGCCATGGAAATAAACCACGTAGTTTGCCAACCTACCCTTCATTCCCTAACGGTAGGCACTGTAAGACATTCATTGCACTTTCAACTACTGTTCACAGAGGTATTTAATATTTGTTAATAATTGGGGATTCATTACATTTACTCACCACATACAGCGCAACATGCTGAATAAACCCGTTTTCAGTTCAGTTTTCCTCAGTCTGCAATGAATTGAATCTCAAACTCTGTATACCTTTGGCTCTGGTTCTCTGTCCTGTTGGTTTGGTGTGTCAGTTGAACAGGAAGCAGCCAGTGACGGTCCATGACATCTTGAGGATCCTGCGTCTCCACATCTCCGTGCCGCAGTGTGACATCTTCGGCTACCTGAGCATCGACTCAGAGATCATCATCCTCATCGTCCCCGTGGACCAGCAGCCAACCCCGCTGCAGGTACACACACATACGCAGAAACTGAGTTCACACACTATCACACACTGGCTACACACTATCACACACTGGCTACACACTATCACACACTGGCTACACACTATCACACACTGGCTACACACTATCACACACTGGCTACACACTATCGCACACTGGCTACACACTATCGCACACTGGCTACACACTATCGCACACTGGCTACACACTAGCACACACTGGCTACACACTATCACACACTGGCTACACACTATCACACACTGGCTACACACTATCACACACTGGCTACACACTATCACACACTGGCTACACACTGGGTATGTAACCGATGTGAAATGGCTAGCTAGTTAGCGCTTTCTCTCTCTCTCTCTCTCTCTCTCTCTCTCTCTCTCTCTCTCTCTCTCTCTCTCTCACTCTCTCTCTCTCTCTTTCTGTCTCTCTCTCTGTCTCTCTCTCTCTCTTTCTGTCTCTCTCTCTCTCTCTGTCTCTCTTTCTCTCTCTCTCTCTCTCTCTCTCTCTCTCTCTCTCTCTCTCTCTCTCTCTCTCTCTCTCTCTCTCTCTGTCTCTGTCTCTCTCTCATAGAGACCTGTCGACTGACCGTAATTCACAATTCTTCTGTGTGCCAAGTCCATTGCCCTGTTTTGTTTTGATTGCTGGTTGATTGGCTGATGCTTGACCTGGAACCTTATCAGCACAGCAAACAGTTAGGTCCAAATCATCCCATCATGGTGTTGTGAGCGCTTTAGTTTCCTATGTAGAACTGAGCCCCTTCATGCAGCACCACCATCAAGAGAGGAGGCATTTGTTAACAAGCTAAGCGCTCACACAGAGGATGCCCTCTAGAGACAGGGGATATCCAGTAATATATACAGTACCAGCCAAATGTTTGGACACACCTAATCATTCCAGGGTTTACTTAATTTTTACTATTTTCTACATTGTAGAATAATAGTGAAGACATCAAAACTATGAAATAACACATATGGAATGATGTAGTAACCAAAAAACTGTTAAACAAATCAAAATATATTTTATATTTGAGATTCTTCAAATAGCCGCCCTTTGTCTTGATGACAGCTTTGCACATCTTTGGCATTCTCTCAACCAGCTTCATGAGGTAGTAATCTGGAATGCATTTCAATTAATAGGTGTGCCTTGTTATAAAGTTAATTTGTGGAATTTATTTCCGTCTTAATCCGTTTGAGCCAATCAGTTGTGTTGTGACAAGGTAGGGGGGGGGGGTATCCAGAAGATAGCCCTATTTGGTAAAAGACCAAGTCCATATTATGGCAAGAACAGCTAAAATAAGCAAAGAGAAACGACAGTTCATCATTACTTTAAGACATGAAGGTCAGTCAATCCGGAAAATGTCAAGAACTTTGGAAGTATCGCTGCAGAATGCTGTGGTAGCCATGCTGGTTAAGTGTGCCTTGAATTCTAAATAAATCCCTGACAGTGTCACCAGCAAAGCACCCCCACACCATAACACCTCTTCCTCCATGCTTCACGGTGGGAACTACACATGCGGAGGTCATCTGTTCACCCACACCGCGTCTCACAAAGACACAGCGGTTGGAACAAAAAATCTCAAATTTGGACTCCAGACCATAGGACAGATTTCCACTGGTCTAATGTCCATTGATCGTGTTTCTTTTCCTAAGAAGGTCTCTTCTTCTTATTGGTGTCCTTTAGTAGTGGTTTCTTTGCAGCAATTCAACCATGAAGGCCTGATTCACACAGTCCCCTCTGAACAGTTGAGATGTGTCTGTTACTTGAACTCTGTGAAGCATTTATTTGGGCTGCAATTTCTGAGGCTGGTAACTCTAATTAACTTATCCTCTGCAGCAGAGTTAACTCTGGGTCTTCCATTCCCATGGCGGTCCTCATGAGAGCCAGTTTCATCATAGCGCTTGATGGTTTTTTGCGACTGCACTTGAAGA